TATCGCATTGTGACTGAGAACTTGAATTACCGGAAATAGTGTTCACGTTGGGTTCCAAAAATGTTGACGGATTTGTACAAAACCCAACGTTTAGCCGGTGCATAGACTTCCCTTGAGCAGTACCACAATGAAGGTGAAGATTTTTTAGAATAGCCAAACATAGGCTACCAGAATCGAAACAACAGTCCATGGAATGGCGACATTCATCATCACCAAAAACAGTGAAGTTTAAGCAAACAATTTCTGCCCTGAAATCATGTGCACCGTTTTTTGGGACAGAAAAGGAGAATTGCTAGTGGAGTTTCTGCCTCATAATGAGACAATCAATGCAGCATCTTATTGTGAGACATTGAACAATCTGCGCCATGCAATCCAAAACAAAAGACATGGCAAGTTGAGTAAGGGTATTGTTTGCTGCATGACAATGCCCGTCCACATGTATACTGACCAAAGATCTCACTCAAATTTTTAAATGGAAACTCTAGATCATCCTCCATACAGCCCTGATCTGGCGTTATTCATGCACTTGAAGAAACACCTTGGCGGTCAGCGTCTTCAAGATGATAACGAAGTCAAAACACTTGTGATAGGTTAATCAGAATAAAGGCAGAACTAGAGAGGTGGTATTATGCTTGAAAACCAGCATGTTATGACAGGCCTCAATATTCATGGTAAGTAGATTATGTTATAGCCTTTATGTAAAATAAATTATTATTTTTTTTTTTTTTTTTTTTTTTTTTTTTTTTTTTTTTTTTTTATTTAATTCTTATATTAGTCTTTTTTAATTATTTTATTTTCATTCAGATTATGAAGTTTCCTGGAATACAGTTCGGACCACCCTGTATTATAAAAATTCTTCGTATACTGCTCGGTCAGGATGTATATATTCTGATGGTATAAGAAGTGAGAATGCACCTAAGTTTATAAAAAAACTCATTCCGCTAGTACCTAGTATTACATAAATGAATCAAAATGGAAAATTAATTATTTAATTCCTTAGTTATTCATATTTACTGGGAGACCCACGACTTACGACGATACCTTTATTAGTACCACTCATTTATGTGAATACAAAAGTAATAACAGGCGACCTGTAACCAGCCGAAATTCCATTTTGTGTGAGATTTTATTTTAATATTGATTAAATAATACTTACATTCGGAATGGCAATGGTAGCTTATTTAACACTGAACAAAATAAAATTGTAGATAAGCTAAGGCAAGATTCGTTATTGTTGTTCTAGATTCTAGATCATAGCTTTTTAAAAGGAAATAATGTTTATATAACTTTATAAAGATAATAAATTTATAGATAATATACAGGGGCTTGTCCGAACTGTATTCCGGAAACTTTAGCAGCATATTTGTAGGTTATCTGGAAACAGCATGCGACCAAAGTTACTCAGGTATGAATGTATAGATTCACCAAATATTTGGTTTGGTATATATTATGAAGATAACTGGCGGTACTATTTTACTAGTGCCGAGGTTTGGTTGCCATTAACAAACATTGTTTTGTTCAGGACGAGCCTTTTTTGACAATATCAAATAAAAGAGGTCGGTCATCATATGTCCGTGGTCATTGCGTCAAACTTCCGCCTGATGATACCCAAGTAGTATTTTCACGACTTGCGATCAAATATTGCTTACTAAACACAACGTTGATTAGTTACAAAAATAGTTAGCTCCCTACCTTGGGTATTAAAATACATTTAAAAAAAATGTTTTTTATATCGTTGCCGACGTTGGATTGGTACTACAGCAAAGCAGAGCCGCGACGAATGCCAGCCTGTACCTCTTTTCGCTTAAGATTTTTATATAAATACAACGTTGACATCATAGCTGCTCAGGACCCATTCCAACGTTGTGTCGTTCAGCCTTACTAATTAACGTTGCTTAGATTTCATTAAACAGATCGCCGGCAGTAATCAGAACCATACCTTAGCTCCAATTACTTCATTGCCTGTTCAGTCAAACAGCTCAGTGCCGTTTTTATGTTTAATTAAATGTATCATAAGAAAGGCAATAAAACCGGGCCTCTAAATATGGTCGACATAGGTCGAGCTTATCCACTGTTTGACAGGCGGCACGCGATCGCGTCTGCGACCAGCAGCGCCTGGCTTCGTGCTGGCAGCCGAACTGCTCTTTACAGTCTGCATGCACGTTCCTGAGTCTTCAAAACAGTGAAAGTCATGCCAGCGTCACACGTTTCGTCATTGTGCCGAGATTCCTCGCTTTTTCATTACTTAAATTATGTGGAAACAATTTTTGATCGCAGAATTTTTATGTTTACTAAAATTAAAGAAATTTTTAAAATCCTTTTTTTTTTAATTATTAATTAATACCGGAATAGGATCTCGAAGAAAATAAATCGGTTTGAAGTTGTTTATGTTTAATCTTTTTGTCTTGGCAGCCATTACTATGACTAAATATTCTCCACATTTCTGGGCCATATTTCTTTGTTTGTTGTTATTCGATTACCCTAACTAAATCATAAAATAATATTTTGGCTAGTACTATCCAATTTAGGATAAAATTCGATTTAGACGCCATATTAGTTTGTATTTCTGTGATTTTAAATAACGTTAAGCCTGTGCTAAATAGCTTTGCCGGCCCAACGTCAGCGACCTGTACGTCTTCAAATTAGTGTAGACTAGGTTGGTACGAGGTTGTGTTTGTTGTGCTGACGTTGGGTCGCGTGACGCCGTTAACCTCCGACGTTCAGTCGCTGCTTGCACCAGAAGCGGGGTCACGATACAGCGGGACGTAAAAGTGGATAAAAAATCCGCGAAAGAAAGCATTTCGTGATATTTTTAGTTTGGCGATATGTCGCCTGTGGGCATTTCGTACAGAATGAAAGATTAAAATGGCAGCTTTCATGTTACATTCTTCTTTCTCAGCAGCAGAGTGTTGATGACGTCCGCATGGCTACGTGTGTCATTAGTGCTTGTTGGCGGTCACGGGGACAATTGCCGAATTCGAACAGTTATTCATTGTTGTGTAGACATACCTACGTTGACGAATATATAAAATATAAGATAGCAATAACTGACTTACATTTGACGAAAGTTGCACAGTTTCACAACATAGCTTAACTTACACCGATAAGAGTTGATTTGTTCTTCTTGATAGACTTGGTGTTGGGAATAGATCGTCACGCAGCCGCTTCATTGTTACGCGACGAACGGTTTGTTTGAATCATCAGCAGCATATTGTTTTTCGCAACCATGTTGTTGACCGAGTCGACAAATTGAAAATCAGAAATTTGAATTAGTTAAAATATTTCTTTTTGCGGACAATGTTTCAGCATTGACCATCACCAGCGCAATGTCAAGGCTGTACTCTTCGTCTTTATGAATTTTAATACTTATACCTGTCAATCGCTTGAGCAGGGCTGACGAAAATTGTCGTGCCAGGTTAGCCGTTTACTGAGCCATAAGAGTTGATAAACGCATTGGCGTTATTCTGCACGAAATGCGATCTGCTTTACACGAATCATGTCGCCGTCATTGTTTATTTGTTTGTCTCATTATTTTCTTTTTACTTATAAACAAATGAAGATTGTGTTGCATACAAGAAACTTTATTTGTTATAATTTATCAGTTCAGATCGAACGGAAACGACGTTATACGTCCACGATGGCCACAGCTCACAGCACAGCTTTTGCTTTAATGTCATTGTCAGCTATCACGATTTGCAATAAAACTTACCTAAGATACCATCATTTTGAAAACGGACGCTTTGGGCTGGTCTTTTTTTTCGGCGGTTTAGGATTTTGAAAGATTTTACTCTTGGAAAGATTCTGACTTCGAGTGCGCAGGCCTCTTTCTGTTTGCAGCCAGCCCAGCAATTCAGCAGGCAGCAGCAGATCAGTGCATAATTTGTCGCGACCTGTGTTTTGATTTACAATCTGCTCTATTTCCTTTTTCTATGGTATGTTTAAAATAAATTCTAGGTATTTGTCATTAAAGCCAGTGACATAAAATGGAGAATGTGGCTGGTCTATTTTATTTCATTTAATTATTATCGAATTAGATATCGATAATAATTAAGTCGAATTAAGAAATAGATAGCCACATTTCTCCATTTTATGTCACACTGGCTGTGGTAAATTACTAAATTTGACATTTAGGCTATACCATAGAAAAAGGAAATAAATTTAGATTGGAATGGAATGCCCGTCAAAATTTTGGGTCGCGACCGTTGTACGCGATCTGGCGCTGCTATAGCGGTTGCTAAGAACAACCGCAAACAAAAAACAGAAAGAATTTTCACCTGTCCATATCTCTTGTCAAAGTCAGAATCTTCAAAAATTATAAAATCTTTCAAAATCTAAACCGCTCTCATGGAAAAAATTCCGAAAATTGTTTAAAGCGTCCGTTTTCAAAGTAATTATTGGTATCTTGTGAGTTTAATTTAAGTTTTATTTACTTAAATCGGTGATAATTGTGAAAAAGTGGTATTAAAAACTTAAAAAGCTGTGCTGTGAACTGTGAAAAACCATCGTGGATCGTGGTATAACGTCGATTTCCAATGTTTCATAGGTATTTCATACTTGTCATTATATAAAATAAAGTTTCTTGTATGCAACACAATGTATTTTATTTATAAAATTAAAAGAAAATAATAATAAATTTGAATAAACAATATTTGGCGACATAATTCCGGAAAAAGCCGAACTTTTCTAAAGCTTTGGGTCGCGACCGTTGCAAGAATAGCGCCAAATAGCGTTTACACTATCCTTATGGGCACTTTCCAATCTAAACTTGGCTATACAAGTTTTTTTGACAGACGGTTTTTTTCGTCCAATTTTTTTCTCAAAAACGGTTAATGTTAGGTATAGAGTGTTAATATTAAAATTCATAAAATTTTACAGGGAATTTAAGTATGTAATAAACAATGGGGATACCCATTTAAAATAATTGATAATGGTCAATACTGAAACATTGTCCACCACATTCAAAGAAATATTTTAACTAATTCAAAATTTCTGATTTTCAGACTTTGTCGACTCAGTCCAACAACATGGGCTACTGGTTGCAGAAAACGATATCAGTACTGCTGGCCATGGGTTCCAGCAAACCGTTCGTCAGCGTAACGGCCGATGAACTGGTATTCGGATACGATGACAGTCTGGTGTCTCTAGCCCACAAATTCTATCCAAAAAGGAAGAAACCATCCAATAAGATGGGTCTTCTTATCAGTGTAAGTTAATTTCCCTATAAACTATATATTTATTGAAAACTGATGGGTTTTGTTTTCATTACATGCAAACTTTAAATCAAATGGTAAGTCAGTTATTTATATCTTATATATTTATATATATTCATCCAGCAGTAGGTATGTCTACTGCTGTGCGAGCCCCTCAAATAGTGCTGTTCGGATTCGGCAATTAACTCTATGTCCCGTGTACTTGTAAACACTAATGACACACATCAATACATGCGAGACGTCGCCAACACTCTGTATAAGGTACTGAAAGAAGAATAAAGCATAACATAGAAAGCTACCGATTTTATTAATCTTTTTTCATTCTGTACGAATACTTACAGACATTTTATATCATAAACTAAAAATATCACAGAGTAAAACTTCTTTCATAGTTTTTATCCACTTTACATTGGTATTCTACGTATTGTATCATTATTTGATCCCACTTCTGAAGTTACCCAAGCAGCATTTGGACGTCGGGACAACGTTGTGTCACGCGACCAAACGTCGGAGCGCAACGTCGGCACAACCTCGTACCAACCCTAGTCTGCACTAGTTTGGAGAATAATTTTTGGGTCGAAACGACGTTGGATACCGACGTTGGCTAGAAGCCTAATTTAGTACAAACTGCACGTTGTTTAAAATCCTAATTCACAGAAATACAAAACTAATATGGCGTCTAAGTCGCGTTTTATATTAAATTGGGATAATTATAGTAAAAATATTATTTTTACGATTTAGTTAGAGACATATGTCAGATGGCAGTGAAGGAAAACAAAAGAAAAGTATTTAAGTGTGGAGGATGTTTGAAGATCATAATTAGTGAAACGCTTTAACCGACTCTGTAACTCGATACCCAAGGCAAAAAAGTTAAACGCCAACAACTTTATTGATAAATGTATTGTTTCTACTTTGAAAAATACTAATGGGCCTTAAAATTAAAGAAGTTTTAAAAATTTTCTTGAATTTTTTTTTAGTAAAATGAAAATAATTTATTCGCAGTCGAAAAAATTGTTTCCGCGTGTTTTTTAGGGTCAAATATTTCAAGTTAATGGATTCAAAAAGCAGGAATTGCTATTTTAGGAACGAAATATTTTCTTATTTAACAACATGGCGGTTTTCACTTTGTTGTTTTGGAGATTAAGATGGAGTAGTTCGAGTAGTCGCATACTGGACTAATAAAGTCGCAGTTCGGCCTTAACAGGTAGTATACTAGTCGCAAGATTGCCTAATTTAGTCATCCTAGAATCTAGCTTGTGCCGCCCTCTATAATCTAAATAAACGAGGGAGTGGATAAACTATCGGTAATATATGTCGATATATATTTAAATTTAGTTTTTTATGTACCTTTCTTATGTCCCATTTTAATTAAGTTTTTTTTATAAAAACAAAAACAGCACTGAACTGTCTGACTGAACAGAACAATGAAGTGAAAATTTAAGATTTAAGGTTATGGTTCAATACAGTTGCATAAAGGTAGTGACTCGACGTCCTACCAACGTAAGAATAAGGAAATCTAAACAACGTTGGAATTAGTAAAACAGACGACGTTTGCATAACGTTGGAATAGGTCCTGAAACTGACGTCGGAAAACTTTATATTGTCCAACGTTGTAACTACGTTGTCCGAATCACCTAAAGATCACTTAAGCAAAAAGGTTACAAGGCAACGTTTATTCGACGTCGCAGAAACTTCTACTTTGCTGTAGTACTAGTCCAACGTCGGCACAACGTTATAAAAACGTTTAAATTTATTTTAATACCCAAGGTAGGGAGCTAACTATTTTTTGTAACTAATCCAACGTTGTGTTTAGTAAACATGTGGTCGCAAGTCGTGAAAATGCTACTTGGGTATCATCAGGTAGACATCAGTTTGACATAATATTTTTGGATATGATTGTTATTTTCTTTTATTTGATGTGTGTCTAGTATTTTCTAACGAAAGGCTCGTTACTATATTCTGGACAAAACAAATGTTTTTGTTAATAATAAATTAATAAACCTCTAAAACTAGTAAATAATTCTGCCAGTTATCTTCATAATATACCAAACCAAATGTTGCAATTAGATATATATACATTTCATACCTAATTAACTTTTAGTCACGTAATTAAGCTTGACCGGTACAACGTTGTCCACTTTTATATATTTTCTTTTAATCAAAATTATTGTAGAAAACAAAAATTAATTAATTATTACAGTATCACAACGCTATTTATTTAAACCAAAATCTCGTAATACAAAACTAGAATTCACCATTGTAAAGTCTAGACTTGAGCAAGTATACTGGAACGTGTGAAACAGGCTTTAAGTGTTTTGTAAGTGCTACGATGTTTTTAATGTCGGTGATTAAATTGCTACATATATTTAACTTAGTTTTATCTATTGTATATTAAAAAATATCAGTTATACCTACTATTACAAACCATTATTCATATACAGCGAAACGGTACACTGGCAGAAGTACACAATATGTATACCGGGGAAACAGGAATGCAGGAATTCGGACTCCTGGCAAATCTCAACGGAAAGGAAACGTTGCCGTACTGGGATGAGGCCCCTTGTAACGATTTGACAGCTAGCGAAGGATCTTTCTTTCCACCCCGGTATTTCACGAAGAGGGATGTGGTTTACTTGTACGACAAAGACTTGTGTCGGACGTTTCCGTTTCAGTACAGAGAATCAGGCGAGAAGCATGGTAAGTTTAAGTTTAGATGTTTGATTGTTCTTTATATTTTATATATACAGGGTGTCCCACTTAAGATGGATACAAGCCAATATCTTGATTGTTTGTTGAGCGATCTTTTTCATTTTTGGCAACATTTTTGGCAGGCGGCTGTATGGCTATAAGACGTACATTTTAATGAGGTTTGATATTTTTCGAGTCAAGAGTAAACTACTTTTAGGACAGTATTTATTTCAAATGTGATAAATTATATTGAGTCCTCCTTACCTAAGATACTTAAGTTCTAATTTTGATAAATATTGATACAGGGTGTGTCATTAAAATGAACATTTTATTTTTATTATTATTTTAAGTACCCGACGCCACTCTCAGAATAGTTTACACATAATAAGGTAAGATACGATACAAAGAAAACTAAATATTTTTCAATTTATTTTGTTTACTTTCAAAATTTTTTTTTTTTTTTTTTTTTTATTTTTATAGTTTTAGAGTTACAAAATGTTAAAACCCCAGTTTCCAATGGAATCCCTGAAATATGATTTTTATTCGTTTTTATTGAGGGAATATTTAAAAAAATCAAATAGTTAGATATTTAAAACCTTTGAATAAAGAAGACTAAGGAAGGACATATCAAAAATCTTAGGAATTTTTACCATGATGGGTCTCAAATGTAAACCGACTTAAATTCCGGTTTTATCAGTGTCGTTCTAATTTTATTTAAAATGTAAAATATGATGTAGGGTGAACGTGCAGAGATTAGACTCAATAATTTGTTGTTTTATTTTACGTTGTGAATAAATGTTGGTAGTTATTAAAATTGTTATAAAATATATAATTCTAATAAAATAGATGAAGTTATAATAAATTATTTATTAGCATACATCGATACGCTACTGGAAACGAATAAGGGTCAAATTAACGTATCAATTCTTTGACATCTAATCTTAGACCATTAATAAATAAAAGCTAAAATGCAAGAAAATATATAAATTAGTTAATTTAAGTGAATTTCATAAATGATCGGTTTTACTACGTATGTATATTATATAGTCACTTACTAGCGAAAAGTTGTTCCATTATTTCCTTCAATTTTTTTTTTTTTTATTAGTTATTATAATAACTATTTTAGAGTCTTTTTCAATAAATCGCGATAGCGTCACTGTTAATTTAAGTTCTGCCACAATTTCCATCTAGACTTACTACCTTTATACAACTATCGAAGTGATTAGAGATAAATAATAAATAACATAAAATAAGCTCCGTAGAGACTGACAAATCCACAAAATTTCAAATCAAATTTAAATGTGTCAAATGAATCGTCAAACAGAACTGTCAGGATCCCCACCCTAGAGCTTTTTCCGCCCACCATGCATATGTATTCATTATGGATAGCATTATGCTCTCCTTCCTTAGTCTTCTTATTCAAAGTTTAAACAATCACTATTAACTTTGAAAATATGCTCTAAATAAAGATTTATAAAACCAAACCAAATAACCATCCTTTTTGGAAACGTTCGAGAACGGATAACTTTCGTCGATTTTGGTTCATCTCGGAACAAAAACAGCTTCGATTAGCGTTTATTTTTGGGTTTTCTAAGAGTAGAATTCAGGTTCATTACCACTGATACTGTATATCGTCCTTTATGACCCAGAAAAGACTTTGCTTTCTGTTCTTCCCTCAACAGATGCGGTATGCAGCGAGAAAATATTTTTTACAGATAATTCTTCATATATTCTTTTTTAATTGAGGGTTTTGAAATACCCAATGATGCTTCAATTTCACAATATGTGATAATACCGATCTTCTTGGATCGGCTTACGTACAGCATCGACGTTTTCCTGGGTGACTGCCGTTGTTGGTGGACCTGTTTGTTCTTGAATCCTGTTGTTCTAAGACTAATCCGTCGATATTTAAATTCTCCTTACCAGCGAGAAATTGTCGACTGATGTTGTGCTTCATTGCCGAAAACAGAAACCAACTCGGCAAGGCATTCTTTGTTGAGACAAATATTTTCAAAATAAAAAAAAAAAAAAAAAAAAAATTAATCAAATCTAAACTCTTCTTTTTCTTTAGGTTTCTCTTAGCAGCATTAGGCTCGTTTTTCTCTATATCAACACTACATAATATATGTTAAAAATGTTTATATTTTACAGAATTCCAGCTGATTTTACTCCTCCCGAGATGTTTTGAGACGTTGGGTAAAGTCCGGAAATAAATGTTTTTGTCCCGGAAATGAATATTGTCCTCCAAAAGGATTGCAAAACATCAGTCCTTGCCAATATGGTAATAATTTAAATATGTTTTAATATTGTTTTTGTTAAAGTGTTTTTCAATATCTCTTAAATTGTTTTTATTAACTTTGAGGATTTTGTAATTTTAGCTATTATATTTTTCTTCGTCATTTTATATTTACAACTATAACTCTTCTTTTTCAGATGCTCCTGTATACCTGTCTTTTCCTCATTTTTTGGATGCCGACCCTTCACTTATAAACGAAGTGGAAGGCTTGAACCCAGTAAGGCAGAAGCATCAATCGTATTTCAGAATACAACCAGTAAGTTAATGATCTCAGTTAAAGAGATAGTTAATTTGTCATAAAAATCTATTTGTACCAGTGGCGCATCTAGAAGTTAGAGGTTCTGGGAGGGCAACAATATTTAAATAAAAATTACAAAATTAAATTAAATTTTCTCTGAAATGTACCTATTTTAGCTGTGGTAAAATCCAGCCTCCTTAAATACCTTTCTTAAAAAACATAATTACTAAAAACAATATTTTTTTAACAAAATTTTTGTTTTTATACGACTTTATCACTTAAAATTTCCTCCCTGGGAGGTAATTACCTCCATTACCCTCTCCCATTATATACCCTTACAATTTGTACAGAGCTTAATAAAACATCAGAAATTATAGATCATACCCAACTTTGAATAAGAGACTGAGGAAGGAGCATATCAAAATCTTAGGTACACCACGATGGGCCTCAAATATGGCCGACTTAAATTCCGGTTTACCAGTGTCGTTCTAATTTTATTTGAAATGTAAAACTATGATGTAGGGTAGACGTGGGGTAGCCTCAATAATTTGTTGTTTTATTTTACGTTGTGAATAAATGTTGGTAGTTATTAAAATTGTTATAAAAATATAATTCTAATAAAAATAGATAAAGTTTTTTTTTTTTTTTTTTTTTTTGTAATTTAGAACTCATTAATAACTTGAAGGAATCAAATTAACATTATCTAAGTTCTTTGATATCTAATCTTTGACAAGTAATGAATAAAAGCTAAAATACAAAGAAAATATATAATTTAGTTAATTTAAGTGCATTTCATAAATGATCGGTTTTACTACACGTATGTATATTATATAGTCACTTACTAGCGAAAAGTTGTTCCATTATTTCCTCGATTTTGTCGAGAGATCTACCGCTACCAGCTATTTTAGAGTCTTTTCGATAAATTGCAATAGTACCTGTCACTGTTTGTTAATTTAAGTTCTGCACAATTTCCATCTAGATTTACTGCCTTTATACAACTATCAGTGGTAGAATAAATAATAAATAACATAAAATAAGCTCCGTAGAGACTGACAAATCCACGAATTTCAAATCAAATTCAAATGTGTCAAAATGAATCGTCAAACCTGGAACTATCCAAGGATCCCACCCTAGAGTGCTTTTATGGTGCTTTTTCCGTCCACCATGCATGATAACATTATGCTCCTTCCTTAGTCTTCTTATTCCAAAGATCATACCAAATAAAGGTTTTGGTCACGTGATTAAGCTTGACCAGCACAGCGTTGCCCGCTTTTACATATTTTCTTTTTTAATCCAAAAAAAAAATATTTTAGGAAACAAGAATTAATTAATTATAAATATATAAACAGTTATTATTTACATCAACAAGCCTCCCCTTTAAGAACGTTACAGGACATAAAGGGTCATTTACTATATACCGCTGTCCCGTTTAAAATATTCTAATAAGAATTACGTTGAGTTTTTTGCAACGGCTATCTTGTACACTTGGTACTAAAAGAGGTTCAAAAAGAACAATGTTCGACTTTAAAGGTTTACTAGTAAAAATGTTTAAGCTTAAAATATCACAGCACAATTCATTTGAATAAAAACAATATTACAACACTAAAATGTCAAAACGATTCAAAATGTCCCGGAAATAAATAAATAAATATGGCAACTTGACATTTTTACAGCAAGAGCTACCACCTGAATCCTAGCGGAAATTTAAATTCCAGTTATATATTATATATATTATTATATTATTATATTTAAACTTTTTCCAGAAACTTGGTGTTCCTGTTGAAGGGAAAGTTCGCGTTCAGCTGAACTTGCGGATTCAACAAGCCCCCAATATCAACCCGGTCAAGGATTTTAAAACGATGGTGTTTCCTGTTATGTGGCTAGAAGAGGTAGGTTCGAATCCCATATTTCTTTCACAAAATTTAACAGAGTTTAAGATAACAAATTATTAACTGGGAAAAGGCGATTTTAGGAAATTTTCGTACCTTAGAAAGGCAATATGGAGGCTGAAAGTTTATGGTGTGAAAATTCTTTACTACTTTATACTTGTCTAGAAGTATGAATTTCTGTATCAAAAATCCTTATTAAGTGACCTTATTAGAAATCCTTAATTTAAATTAAAAAAAAAAAAAAAAAAAAAAAAAAAAAAAAATTTTTTGTAAAAATATCTATACCTATGTGGCAGTTCGTCTCTCCAAAAAGTCCCTATGGATATATTATATATTTTCACATCTAATCACAGTATAAAGTGTAAAAAAAGGTGTTATAAAAAGATTATATGATACGGCAAAAATATGTGTTCAGACGACATTTCACTAAACGACTATAAACCATTAAATACGTTAATAAAAACTATCAACCATATTTTATTGACAAAACATTAAACAGAAATACAAAACCCTAAATCATAGACACAATGACAACAATACACAATATATACAACTTGCAATTCCATACATACTAGGCGTTTCGGAAAAAATAAGGAGGATAAGAAAACAATATAACTTGTACAGAACATCTTTCAAAAACAAAATACGTTTTTAAAAAAATATATTTGCCGCTTTTATACAGAAAGTTTGGGGCGTTTTGGTTTTACTTTATTAAGTAATTGTTATCAGGTAGTAATTGTTAATTTTGAGTTTAACTTGGATATAATGTCATTTTAACAGAACGTCAACGATTTTGTAGACGTATCTGTTTTAAAAAACTAAAGTGTTCTCGAATAGTTGGATTTAAAATATTTTTAAATGGTTTTCTTTGTTCTTTATGTTTTTTTTAAAAGAGATACGTCTTCAAGAAACCGTTGACGTTAATTTGTATAACTGTAAAGTTAACTTCTGACAAGTGGTTTCCGTTTGGGATTAACGCAGAAGTGTTTACAAATAAAATATTTAGACCTTGTATAATGACAAATATGTCATTATACAAAGCGCTTTGTTGATCAAACTTTATATGATAGGATGTTGTTTCATGTCTCAATGATTATTTTCTAAATATATATTACAACTGATGACATTTTTCAGGGAATCGATGAACTAACACCACCGATCCGAAGATGGTTGTACGTGGCCACTACGTTTGCCGATGTAGCCTGTCCACTAATGACCTACGGCTTTATCATTTTCGGCAGTTGTCTGATCATAGCTGTCTTTGTTAACGCCTACAAGTCGATCATGTTCACGAAGAAAACCATTCAAATTGGTATGAAAAACTTAAGAAGGGGCAGTCTACTGATCAGTTCTAACAGGTAAGTAACTTACTTGATTGTAAAGTAAATGGGTACTCCGAATCAGACTTCTACCCCAGCATCTTACGTATAACTTATCTTGGAGAAAAACTATCGAAAACGAAATAATAATCTTATCGATGGTCAAACGGTTTAAAGGCAGCCGTCTCTGCAAACCAAACTAAACTAAGCCAAGAATGTAGAAAGAAACGGTAACTAAACGAAAATAGGTTTCATCGGCCACTGGGAACGATTTTTGCTTAGTAGTCAGCTAAGTTAGCTACGTTTTCGTATTGTATCTCTGCTATCATAGAATTAATGGCTGCGAAAAATTCGCTGGAACCTGTTACGAACTAAAACGAGCGAAACTAAGCTACAATTTGGATCTTCGTTTATATATTTTCGTTTTAGTTTCGGCTCAGTGGCCATGACGCATTTTAAAAGTATGGGAGCTGATTTTTACATATCTTATCTTCGCTTGGCTTGAGTTTAGTTTCGCTCGAAGTGGCCGCCCGCCAAGAGGCAATGAATGGGTGTATGCTATGGGGTTGGTACTATGATTAAGTCGCAAAAAATCACCGTCGGAATTTTCCACGATCTTCAAAATATGTAAAAACATAACACAAAAAGAATTAAAATATAGATTTGTAAATAGCATGACTAAAAATGGAAACAACGACGTTTTATTGGTTAATTTCCTATAAACTATAAATAAAAAACACTAAACTATCAAAGAAACTATAAAACTATAAACTATAAATAAAACACAAAAGTAAAATCGAGTTTTCTAGTACGCTGTTTGGAAAACCTATCAATAGCAACATCAACTTATTTTATTTCAATATCTTTATGGATATTGATTAGAGTTAACCACTAATCTGTCCTGGCCAATAAGAACTCTTTGTGTGCTTTTAATTGGTCGAACATATTATAAAGATAAGTAAACATAATTAAAAGCATACAAAGTGTTCTTATATATCGGATATTAATTTAAAAGATACTTTCATAGTCAATGACTATTTCAATTCTCGTATCTCGTCAGGCGTCAGGGGGGGTACTGTCACCCAGTACCCCATATCACATACTTATACCATAAAAGCGATCAACTCAGCTATACTCTGTTTTTTCTCAGGTAAGATTTCGACAGCCGATGACAGAAGAAAAGCAGATGACGTCTATACCAATCTCTTTATTTTACTAAAAAAAAAAGTTTCTAATAATTTTAAGAGTTATCTATGGATGGATTTAAATATAAATCCGTCATGCGATGATGTTGTTTTTTAACCAGTTTATTGGTTTTATTTCAAAATGACAGATCATTATTTCAATTTTATTGGTTTGATGGAACGACGAACGACAAACGGACGCCGATGCGTATGAACTCGCCTTTAGATTTTGTCATTTTTGACGCTTGTCAAAGTCTTGCCAAATTATAGGGTTATAATTTTGTGTCAGCTTTTGTTAAATACCCTGCGTTTTGGAAGATGATACATTTTGATTCAGTATTATTACGTGTGTTTGTGTCTTTTGAAGTCAAATTGGAGAAAAATCGAGTGAAAGAGTACCTGTAGACCAGAGCACAGTTTATGGTTAATACTCGCTGCCCAGGCAGAAAGTCTATACACCAATGAAGTTGCCATCATTAAAGTTTGTATACCATTTCGTCGTAGATAATTGCATCTCGTATATGGTAGAGGGATCAAACTAAACACATACTACAAACTGGAGTAGCTGTAAAATATCGACATCACACGATAGGTAAATAATGGATTTTTAGTACTGCAGAAAATAATGTCAAAAGGTACTGGTTTAAAATTAAAGATTAAGGTTAATTAATCAACCTTTAAGTTATAAAATTTGGTAGGTGTTATTAATAATAAAATAGTTGTTTTATTTACCTATGTTGTTTTATTTATTCCTGTGGAGATATTACAATTTGTATTTGTACATAAGTTATATTGATAAATGTAATCCTCATAAATGCGAGTAGTTTCATAAAGCTTGAAAGTAAAAAATAGTTCTTTTTATATTTTTGGTATGTAGTGTCTTGTTCTTGTTTTGTATTAACACATACCGGTTTTATTAAAATAAAATAATAATTACATTTTTTCAGTTTTATACAGTTTTTCACAATATTTACTACGGTAATCCCTTGTCATCTTGTCAATCAAATTTTAAATATTTCCCGCTATACGTTCAGTTGTACCAACTTATTTCTTTTTTTAAATTTTAAGTCTTAAGTTATTTCTGAAATTAAAATGACAGACATCTATCACTGTCAGGATCTTCTCGTTGGACAGACTATAGTGAAAATACTTTTAATAGGGTTTGCTGTCTAATCGAATGTTGATGTCTTTATAAGAAATACAGAGTTCGGCAATAGTTCGTCGGGTATTTGTAGAAGAATTTAATTTGTCTTTGTTCGACGACCAGCTGGTCGTAAATAAGCTGTGGTCTTTTTTGAGAGGTGTTTTTAATACGGTGTGTTTTAACGAATTTCAGGACAATATCAGAAGAGACTTACATTTCTAAATTTCAGATGTTGTATGACGGTGAAATTATAGAATAACAAGTCCTTATAGATCGTTTAAATTTGAGGGAGTAGACTAATAAAATGCATCTAGCGCAAAGAGTTCGGATCGTCTCAGCTATTGCAGATTCTTGCCGACAATGTATTTTTTTTTCTTTATATGTATTCAATCGATGGGATTTACCATTGTTTTATCCGCGCGACAAAACTTTATTTGGACGCTTGTGTAAATATTTAGTCGTCTAAACAAGGCGCGTTTTCAAGTCAGCTGATCAAGTCTGTTGAATTTATTTCGCATGATCGTTGAATAAAAAGGGCCAAAGAAGGAGCATACCAAAAAACTTTAGAATCTAAATTCTACCAATAAAATTAATATCCGTATCAACGAATCGTCGGACAACGGATGCAAATCAAGCTTAACGGATGCATGAAAATCAAGCTTAAACACCGATTATTTTTTCAAGTTAGTTGAATTCCTGTGACTTGATCAGTTTACTTGACTCCTGGAAACGCACCTTAAGTCATACTTGGCATGTACAAGTCGAGGATTTTTCTTATACAGAATTTAGATATTTTAAGTTTTGTTAAAAAGTTCTTTTAATTAAAAAAAAACTTTCTTTCTTTGGAACGAGAGAATGATAAAATATTCTAGAATATTTAAGTTTGTATTTATATAATTTTAAATATAGTTAGGTAGAACTTACTCGAATTGGTAATTACTTCAAAAATGTCTTATTGTATGAGTATGAAATTATGTACCAGGGGTGGGCCAAGAGGTGGACACTTTTAAGAGAGAAATTCTTTTCTATATATTATAGATGAAAACTAATATCGTTGTCTGGGGCTCAATTTTATCAAAAACCATGATGGGAAAATCCGTACATCGAAATCTATTAACGTTTGTTCAGGTTACAGGGTGTTGTTGATTCAAAATGTGCGTTTTTTAATAAATCGCTGTGACTTTTTGATATGGAAATGTAGAATTTTATGAAAAGATTCCAAAGCAGCTTCTTAAGTACCTAGAATTCAAAAATTTAAGTATATTATTTTTAAAATTGAGAATTTAAAGAGTTATCAACAGGAGAATTGATTTTTTATTTGGGACACACTGTTTTATTTTCAATTTTAAAAAAAAAAAAAAAAATTGTTTTATCATCATGTTTTTGATAAAAATTGAGCTTCAGACACCGATATTGGATTTTTTGATATCTCCTGTAGAAAGGGCGTTTTCTTTAAAAGTGTCCAAATTTTTTTTTTTTTTTTTTTATATTTTTACTATATAAAAAAAATAAACTGTATTACTTTAGGTTATATTTTAGATAATTCCAATTTTTGGATGCAGTTTTACAAGTTAAAAAAAAATAACATGCTTTTTATTAAAATATTTTTTATTAAGAGAAAATACATACATATAAACTTTAGTCATTGTGAAGAAAAGTATTTTGTATTCTTGTAATGTTTCTTATACTTCTATAATTTTTATTCTTAAATCTGTTTTTCTAAACAAAAGACAATTATCTGATTAGCCAAGTGTATTTTTGTGCAAAGTAGACTTTTCTGTATATTTTATATTTAAGTACCTAATGTTTATGGTTCAACCTGTATTTATATATAGTATGATTTGTTTTTAGGGTTTCAAAAAAAACAAATAAATATTTTTTTTATATTTAATTAAAATTCCGCCATTAAAAGGCTCACCCCTGTAACTTTTAATTTTTCAGATAAAAAAACGAGATTTGGTATGTTAGTGTATGACGTGAGTGAGGATTGAGTGACGTATTCAATTAGTTTTGTTCACTTCTTGTTTCGTCGGAAATGACAACAACTTTTGATTTTAAATTGGACCTTCGGTATTTTTTTACTTTATTTGATGGAACATCATATTCTGAATAGAATAACATATCATATATTATGCCAAATTTTGACGTTTTTCCAAAGTACCAAATTTTTTCAAATAGTTTAAAAAAAAAAAATTTGAAAAAAATTGAGTTACGATTAAAAAATACGATTTGGGCATCTTTTTAACCGATCTGGACAAGACACTAAAAACATTAGACGTCAAATCTATTTTTCCAAGGATCATGACTAAAAATTAGTGTTTTTTAACACAGCCATGGCACTCTGGATTGAAATTTAAAAACGATTTTATTTTAAGCGAAAATGTCAAGTTGACATATACGTTGATATGTCATTCAGAGTAACATTTTCTGTCGAATAAAGTAAAATATCCCGAAGGTGCTATTTAAAAAAAGATTTAAAAAAAAAAAAAAAAAAAAAAAAAAAACAACTAAATACGTCAATCAATTCCCTGTTATCATATAATCAATCAATCAATCAATAATTTATTTATTTCCATAAAACAATATACAATTGTATAGGAATCTACATATATAAAATGCTAATGTTTATCTGTGTCGTCTCTACTGAGTAACGACTTGCTCTAGAAAGCTAATTGGCTCTTCTAAAACTGTCGCCGCCAGTTTTTTATTTTTCATTTAATTAAAAAAAGAAATAAAGTATTGTTTTTCTGATGTCGTGACGGATGCGCCAGGCTTCAACTAGTAGTCAATAAATTCATAAAGCTAACGCAAATATATAATACAAAATATACAAAAACAAACACAACAGATCATAATAAAATTATTATGTACTCGTTGGTGTCATATTACAATTTGCAGGTATTCCTCCACACTATAGAAGTTCATTCCCAACAAATATTTTTTTTAAATTTAACTTAAATTTATTTAGTGTATTACAGGATTTAATTTTAATAGGAAGATTATTAAACATATAAGGTCCTATATTGTGTGGCGATCGATAAGCCACGTACCTTAGATTTACAAATGCTTATATGCTTCTAGTACTAAAACTATGTACATTACAATTTCTTTTAAATTTATCATAGTTGAGAAAAACGAATAGACACACTTCGGTTATAATACTAAATTTGTTAATATAGTCTCTACAACTCTGTGAGGGCGCTATAATACCTGCCAGAGACCGTATTCTACCTTATCTTCTCTCTGCACTCTCTCTCTCTCT